ATGCTAGCTCAAATGAGGTCCTATAGCTAGCCAAAAATGAGAACAAACCAATGTAGCTCCCAATACTCTCAAGATTTTGCACATGACAAGCTATCAATAAGAGGCCTCACTCAAGAAAATACAATTTTGGCTTCAAGGAAATGCAAAGGTTAAAGGGTAAGGGGTGTTATTTGGGTCATCAAAGAGTGGTAGAATGGATAAAGATAAACCTAAATGTGTATGAGATCCATGGTCAAGTATGCAAGTGACCATAATCAAGATATAATTAAGTTCATTAAACCTCTATTCAGTTTGGAGTTGGCTTCAAGAACAATGTCAACATCAAGCAAGCAACATGTTTCAAGAATAGTTTTCAAGGTTCGAAACATGCAAACTTTTCAAGAGGTGCACAAGCTACTTGCTATGATTAGCTAGGATGTCACCTTGAGTTCTAGGCATGTGACCTTCTTACAAGGTTAGCTGACAATGCATGAATGTAATCTATATGCTTCTAGACTTAATCCTAAAGATGCAAATGAAACAAAATATTAATCTAAATGCTTGTTTTTGTGTTTTTCAAAAATTATCAAAATTTTGTGGGTTTTTTATGCAAATAAGTATGAAATGCAATGCATGAGACTCATCACAAGTAAACAAAACAGAAAAAGATGTGAGATAGTAGACTCCCCTCCAAACTTGCTTCACACTGTCTCTTGTGTGAGAGTAAGCTCAAAGAAGAGATCTAAAGGAAAGAAATAAACATGATAACGAAATATTTACAAGGCTGGAGAGACACTTACTTGGAGTTATTGGCTGAATTGAGTAGTATAGGACCCTTGGTAATTTTGACATGACCTCTTGGAAAGATTTTAAACTCCCCCAAACTTTTCCTTAAACTTATTCAAACATATTAAAGCAAAATAAAGAAGAAAGATTTCATCAATCGTTTGTGAATTCTTAACCTCGGTGTTCGAGAGAGACACTGACATTTTGGATCCCTAACCTAACCTAACCTAGAAGAATTAAGTGTTCATGACATGTAAATGGACATGACGATTATTTCTCTCTCTCTCTTTCTTCGGGAGAAGCAATTTAACATGTCTCGGTTCTCGGAATCTAATTTGGTTTCAGAAGCGGTTTCAATCCGGTTTAATATAATACCAGACCGCGTGCCGGTACCAATAGTGTAAGAGAATTTCCATTTACTCCGTTGATCTTTTTTTTTTAACAACTTAAATTTATTAATTATAATATAAAAATACATATGCAATACATAAGAGAGTAAATACAACTAATAGCATAATGAAGATGAAGAGGAAACAACACTAGAAAAAACGAATCAACTTGTAAATATGCTTTTCCTCCAAGGTCTTCTTTTTTGATAGAGTATCAACTCTATCCATTCTTCCGAGAGCTTTAAATTTGCATCGGATCATAAACACCGCTTTCTTTTATTGTATTATGTTGATCTTATCCCAGTCTGGAACTATAGATATTTTTTGGTTTTGAATCAAATATATTGATTCAACCGCAAAAACTAAAAACTGAGATAACCAACATTCAACGATTGTAAGAACATCGCCACACAACAAAAAAACTTCATCTTCTATTTTGAAAGATCGTTTTTTCCATGGTGGTTTCCATAGCTTCAATGATAAAGCAGATTTATCTTTATTTCGATACCAAATATACTGTATCGAAATATAGATTTGAAAAAATCTTCATCTTCTAAAGTTGATCTTCTCATCTTGAACTTCTGGTGTAACTGCTTCTTAAAAGCTCGGAATTTTCCTGGATCCCAAATTCTTCGGCCGAGGCACCATCTATAGAGATGAATAAGAAAGATTGCATCGCAGTGGCCTTTTACCACCACGGAGATGGAAGATGTCGTATTGAACTTGCTGTAATACTGTTCCGTACCAACACCGTAAATGTATTCTAATAACAAGTTACGTACCGAATGTAGTTGCGTTTGACATGTTGTTGACGAGGAATAAACGGATCTCAAATCCTGAAAAACCAGATTCTGATTCATAATCATCATCATCAAGACGCAGCCCTCCACAACCACCACGGTTACGAGAAAAAGAAATGACAAAACATTATGTTTTTGTCGTTGGAGAGAAGCCATACTCATGGCTATTTTCATCACTGAAATCACCATAATGACGTTTGGATTGTAAATGCATCACCAGAAACACTAGTTGTTACTTTGATCAGAGCCAAATTTTGGCCAGTGGAGAGGAGAAAAAGTTCGCATTTACTCCGTTGATCTATTAGCAAAAAAGCTTTAATTGCTCCGCGAATAGAGTTTATTTCATTCTTGTCCGCAATTTCTGCAGCATTATGTACTCTATGCAATTTCTTAGGTACTCAATTTTATTAACATTGTATTCTCTGCACTAGTCATCTCTTATTTAGTCTTCAATCAATCTTTTGTTTTAGAATTTAAGATGTATCCCCTATATATTAATTGAGAAACATTTGAAAAATTGTAACCTCAATTTTGTAATAATTAAAAAAGAGCACATGCTTACGTGTCACTCAATTAGGTAGTCAATTACATTCAATTGAAAAATAAGTAGGTCCACATTCGATTTTTATATGTCGCTAGATATATTTGTTGGTCAAACTATATGATATGATATTTATGATAGAAGCATTTATGATGGTCCTCCTAGATATAATTACTATTTTATTTTATTTCCTTAGATAAAAGCTACGAAATTACCATAAATGACAAATATATATATATATATATGACAATTAATGTTTCTAATAATAAATATTTGATAACAATTTGTATCTCCGCCATCATTTTTTTAATTTTATATTATTAAAATAAATCAAACTATCAAATTAGTTATAAAATTAAACTTTAGATTTTTTTCGTATATGTTATATTTTGAAATTTAAAAAACCAAGAATAAATGACTAAAACTATTAAAATTATTATGTTAAAAATTAATGATCAATAGTTTAACATTTTTATTATAAAAAGATACACATGATTTTAAAACCATATGAGTAAAAAGTATCATTCAATAATTAAAATATATATATATATATATACTAAACTATATACTATATAAGATTACATACTTATTTTAATTTCAAAAATTTCAATGAATTTTCAAGAAACTTTATAAATTATAAACGTATTAAATTTGTCACATTGAATTTTTTTGTTATCAATGATTTAAATATATTAGTTCTTTTTTTTTAAATTTTCTATTTTTAAAGATATTAACACAATCGATAATATGGTTATTTTTGGTATATACCATACAAACCGAATGTATGTGATTTTATAAAAACCGTAAGATTTGGATATAGTTTGATTTATAATCGATTAAACTGAAACATGTAAATATGTATATCTATTTGTTACATGAGTTGAACTATAATTATGATTTGTAAATCACTTGAATCACTTGAAATATAATTAACTAAGAATTTAATGCAACTGAGGCTTCTTATTTTCTTTGTCTTTTTTTTTTGATTTTTTTTTTAATAAAAACTAAATTGAAGTAAAAATTATAAATTTGTAGACAATAATTAGTTGAAATTCTTTACAATTATTAATCTTTAAACAAACAGATTTGTGTTCAGTCGAAGACATATTAATTTGATGAACACTAAATATAGAAGAATATCAAAACTTTTCTTTCATGCTTCTGTTTTGTTTTTATTTTTATTTTCAAAATTTAGAGATTTGATATTAATTCTACATTTGATCATTTTATTAGATCATAGAAGCCTTTTTTTGTTTTTTATTCTTTTAGTTAAATATATAATATTTTTTTAGTAAATGATTTTTTGACAATATGACTCTAAATATGATCATATTATTTATTTTTATAATATATAATATGATTTCAAACTAAATGATGAGTATTGGTATGAAATTAAATAAATTGAAAACCAATATATAAACCAAATCAAACTGAAGTAAATATGGATTTAGAATAGTAGTTATATTTTAGTAACTAAAATACGGAAACTCGATATCCAGATTGAACATCCTTAATATAGATGAAACCGAACTTTTGTTTCATTTTCCAAAACATAATAAAAATAATAACTTCATCCCGCGCAAGGCGCGGATCTTATCCTAATATTCTATTAATTAAAAAACTTCACAACCGAGAATGATATTTTCCAGTAGTAAGCATAGATCTTTTTTTATTTATTATTTTTTAAATATATTACGGTACAAACTTTTAATTTATTTTAAAGTTTCCTTTATGTAGATCATCAAAAGATCTCTACGAGTTGGCTGTTATTCTTTTGAGTATCTACCATTAACAACATTAATCTTTATTTTTGATTTATGTAATCCTTTGGTTGATCAGTATTTTAAAATAAAAGATAAAATATAATTAAATAATTAAAATTGATACGTACGTTATATTATATTTTGCGTAATTGTGTATATATGATAGAAAAATTGATAAACGTGTTAGATAAATGAAACAAATTTTTAAAAATGGTTGATAAAAATATATAACTATTTTGTAAATACATTTTATAAGTATCAATCAAATTATTAAAATTTTCGTTAAGGAATTTAATTGCTCATGCCAATACGCAATTTTGTTTCCTAGTTTCATTAATAGTAATATACTGTATGTTTCATAATTTTACAGCATGAAGGAACAATGAGGACGTACGTAAAGTGGAACACTCTTTTTGTTTTATTTTGTTTCGGTTAAAATGCAAATTTAGGTATAACAACGGTGTCACGTGCCAACTAAATTTTTAATTTTTAGCTAGTTAGCTTATAATCGCTTCCAACTAATCTAAGATTATGAATAACCCCGACTAAAATTTACTCTAGATCCCTCCCTGCTTGAACACCAAAGTAAAAGTAAAAGAATCGAATTTGGGTAGGAAATGAAAAAAGGAGAATCTAATGTTAAATGAATGATCGAGAGAAAATGTCCATTTCGTTATTTTTGTAATTGTGTCTTTTTTATCATACGAAGGATGATAAGGATCATCATGACTAGTTTCATACATTAGACGTATGAGTGAGAACTGAGAAGAGGTTGTCTCTCAAAGAGACCAAGCCTATAATCACCAAGTTTAGACTTGTAAGCAGAAGATTTGTATAGAGACCAAGTGAATTCTTGGTAAAGCCAATCCTCTTTCTTAGAGACTAGACATGAGAGTGGCGCTATCTTCTCACTCAATGGGGGTCCCCCAAAATATATCATCGAGACTCTCGATTTTCTTGTATCAGCTAAGACTCTGTGTTTCACACTCTTGAACCTCCCGTTTGTCATAACCTGCAATCACCGGGTAACTTAATTAATATATGAGATTTTTTGTGAGAATTAGACTTCAAAATGTTGTAGCCTTGTAGGTGGGGACTCAAAAAGTGAGAGTATAAAAGCACACAAACATTGTATTTGCATACACTACTTTTGTTTGTTTTGAAATGCACTTATAAAATAATATACTGCATACATGCCCAATCATGTAAATAATTATTGTCACGTAAAGCTCAGTGTATACATGCATAGATAGATAGTCTAGACGTATACCCAACAACAAGGATCGAGGTTTTTTTAATAACATGCTCTAAATACAGCTAAAAAAAGAGAGAAGAGATGTGAAGAAATCGCACGTGAGAATTTCTGTCTACCCTACATACCAATCTCTACATTGCCATCCCAATTAAGGCAAAAAAAAAAATAATAATAACTATACGAGAAATCCACATATAATTTTTTTTTAAAAAAATTGTATCTTAAGGTTAAAACTGAACTTTTATGAGTTTTGACCACCAGTTAAATTGAAGGAATGTCTCAAACACAACCATCAAATCTTAAATACTTAAGTATTCCTGGTAAAACCATAGTAATCTATAGCTTTTTAAAAAATACAAATAACAATTTCTCCTTTTATAAAAATTAAAAAGAAGAAAGAAATAGTAAAAAATATACCTGAAGAGCATCTCCAACAATAATGAAAAACGAAGATTGATCAGGAGGGACAGCGACCCAACTTCCATCTTTCATACATATTTGAAGACCCGCCGTATCATTAGACCTTAGCACTGAGATAATCTGTGGGTCTGTGTGTTCCCCAAACCCTACTTTCACCATCTTCTCCGCCTCCTCTTCCTCCGCCGTCGGATAGTGGTTAAGTCTCAGGCAAGAGTCACTTTTCTCATCCCTCACCATCTTACTCAGTGTGTCCCTCGGCTCTATCCCTAATCCTTCCGCCACCATCTCCAAAACCTTGCACGACACTTCCTTCAACTCGAGCATATACTCCTCCACCGCCTCTCTGTGTTTGTTTCACTTAAAACGGTCAGATTATGCGGAAGACATAGTAAAACAGAGTCCCCTGTTTCTACTTTAAGTGTATAAAAAGAAGTGATGTTATATGTCTCTTTCATGACATTGTAAATATTATTCTTTTCTGATATTCGAAATTTCATAAAAGCAAAAAAGTTATGTTCTTTGATAGTTTAATGTTTCTGATATTATTTTTACCGGAAATTTTGTGGGCTTTGATTGAAAATGATGGAGGTTTTGGTTGACGAGAGCTGAGGGTTAGCATTTAGGAGGATATACTCAATCCACCCTACGTCACCGTTTGGTCCTATCCGCTTACTACCATAACCATACGGTTCAGGTGGACCGGCCTGGTTCTTAAGAGACTGTGGCAAGGCAAAGAAGCCGATAGCCCCCTCCTCTAACCGGGTCATGAGGTCGGGTTGGACTCCGTGGTTTACAACCTTGAAGAAACCAAACTCCTCACACGCTTTCACCATTAGGGCTTTGGCTTCTGGGTCTTTTAGGTCCACGACGGGGATTGCTTGGGAAGTGAGAACTGCGTTGCATGCTGGGATTACGGATATGGGGTTGTCTAAAGCGCCTGGCTGTGATAAAACCACCATGTTTTGTTATTGAGAAAAAGGTGTTGAAGATTGGAGCAAAGGTTGAAAAAGGAGTCTGTTATGATTTAGAAGTATCGTGGAAGCTATTTTACTTGGCATTTATAGGGAGAGCTTGAGGGAAAGGGGGAAAGGGTAAATTATATGTCTACTTTTTTGAAAATGTTACTATTATTCCTTACAAATCACTACGTTACTGCACCGCCAGTCCGCACACATTGAAATACAGCGTGGATTTTGTTTCTTTCTAATTTAGGTTTATGAAATTATGAAAAAAATGATATTGGTATGGTCCTGTTTTGTGATTTTATATTTTTCTTTTTCCTTATTACTTTTGAGTTTTGACTAGTCACGCTTATGGATTGTTTACAAAACGAAAAGAATCATGGGTTGTAGTTTTTTAATAAATTAATTATCGCCAAAAGTTCCAACGATTTCACTATTTCAAAATGTAGTGAAAAGTCATGGTTGTGTAAGAAAATGTAACATCTCAGTTTGTTAGTTTGTGATGTATGTGAAAAACATTAAGAAATTAATTTAATTATTTATATAATCAAAAATTGTATTTATTTTTTGGTCATATATCTATTAAGAATTTCAAAATTAAATGTGTATAAACAGGATTAGTAAAATAACAGGTGATCTATTACGACGTAATTTTTGATATTGTGCGTGTAAAACCAAAACATATAAAAAATTATGTAATAATTACAAGACTAGTTAACAAGATTTTTTAATTTTCCGAAATATTAACGCACCATTCGTTATATGGAATGGGACACATATGTTAAGAAAGCAGGCATGAAAAACTATTAGTTTTGGATGGTCAGAACGTTACAGATGTGTGGTTTACTATTTGATATTATGTAATAAATTATCATTGATTTTTCCATAAAAGCTATATATTTTTGGGTCGAAAAGCCTTAATGAGTGAAATCTATCTCTTTATTACCTTCGGAATCTCTCAATGTACCTTTTCTTTTCTTAAAAAGCAAACAATCAAACAAAGGTAACAATAAAGAGGTCTGTGGATGAAAATGATTGCATCTCTCGTCAAAACCGACCAATACATCCTCCACACGCAGGTTAATTATGAGCATATATAGGGAAGTCGTAGGAGGAAGGATGGTGAGGTTGAAGAATAAAGCCTACCCATCAAAGAGGTCCAACACCAGCTATTTTACACAAATTTATCTTATTTAAGAGCATCTCCAAAAGACACTCTATAATTTCAAATATGAAGTTTTTACCTCTCCAAAAAGGAACTCTAAAACTTCAAATTTGAAGTTTTGAGTAGTGAAACTTTAAATATAGAGTGTCACTATTCAAAACTTCCAGTTTGAAGTTTCATATTTAATTTACATTTTGGTCCTTACAATTACACATCATATTTATAATAATCTTAAATATTTATTATTTATCATTTTAATCCTTAAAATTATTATTTCATAAATAATTCAAAATTATTTTTATAAATTTAAATTTTCTATTTAAAAAAAAGCATCAAAATAATCTTTAAAATATTTTAAAACTAGAAGTAGACAGCAACAATGTTACATGATATAATATGGTATTTTGTTTGTACTTTAATATTTGATTATATATTTCTATTTATAGTTTTATATTTAGCGTAATATTTTAACAAATGATATTTCTATAATATTTATATACATGATAGTTATTTATAAAAGTTTATGAATTTGAATTAGTTATGACAAATATAAGGACCATTATATAAAATACAAATAGTTTTAAAGTTAGGTTTGAAATTTTGCTTTTGGAGTCTAACACCTTCAAACTTCAAATATAGAGTTTTGCAAACTCCATAATAGAGAGTCTTTCTGGAGATGTTCTAAGTGAACGTATATATAACATACTTTGAATGTATTATTCATAAATATCGGATATCACATTTACGTGATATTACAGCTTAAGTATTATTCATATTTGTGTGTTCAATTAAATATGATAAACAATAAATACATAAATATCAGACCAAAATGGGATAATAATACATAAGTAAGAGCATCCGCAATATAGATTTTTAAGAAAGAATCTTTAGGAAAAAAATAATTAAATAATTAGTGGATTTCACTAAAAGTTAAATATTCAATCTTTAAAATCTCCCTATACATTAAAAGAGAAGTCATTTAAATGCTTTCTCGACACGTGGCACTCATAGAGGACTTCTAGGATTAATTCTCTTAATCTTATTGGTTGATTTTTTTTTAATTTATTTTTTATTTATTAATTCAGCGCGAAGAGTAATTTGATAACAAAACTATCGACGTTTCCAAACACTCCAAATTTGTTAATTCCTTTTAATGACTTACCTTATTTTAATAATACATACGTTGCACAAGTTGTAACTTTCTTTAATATATTTTAATTAATTTTTAAATCTATGAAATATAATAATTCATATTAAATGTCTTACCTTATTTAAAAACTACATTACTTGCAAAATAATGAAATTAAGCCAAGAATATTAATTGGTCGATCACTAATAATTTACTAACCTTGCTAATAATTTACTAACCTTACTAATAATTAATACATGTATTAATAATTTTCCTTATTAGATATTACTTACGCAAGAATATAAATTAATAAAATATGTATTAATAAATTTCCTTATTACAAATACGGAAAACAATTCACTCTTGATATCATATTGATTACATTGTTTAGTGCGATTTATCGATTTGTATCTAATTAGGTTGTTTGTTATTATTAATTTACCTTATTAATATTGAATATAAAATTTATAATATATAGTTTATATATACAGTTTCTCATATGATTAATCGTATAGAATATATAATATCCTCAATAGTTTATTAGAGAATATTCTATTTATTAGCTTATCATGCAAGCTAAATCATTGAGAAACATCCATCAATTTACTATATATAAGACATTCACAGTATGAGAAATGAAGCCACTGAACTTTTTATTCTGAACTTTTTATGTTGATATTGTTTTTGTTATTTTACATCATTAAGCTTTTAAATATACATATTTCATCAGAGCTGACTTTTCTTTTGGTTTATATGCAGATGCCCTATTATAACAATTTCACCACGATGCAGGAAAATCTTTTTATCTTTCTATATGATTTGATTAATCGTAGATCTATTTGAATTCTAATTCTTACTTTTTTAAATATGTTCATAGGTATTATCTTTCTATTTAATAATTGTTTGTTAGAGCTTAGAAGGAGAAGAATGCTTTCATATGTATTTTTCTATTGGTTTTTTAATTTACAATTTTGGTTTATATGCGCAGACTAACGATTATGACGTTTCCTCCTATGAATCCATATGTACTTAAATCTCTCTTCACATTCATGTTATTCAGAGACATGAACATTACAAATGATCATATCATCCAAAACACGTAAACTACAATGTAAGTTTCATGCTTTGTTACTTTCTCTATGTTTTTCAAATAATTATTTGCTTATACACTAAAGAAAAAAAATCGTTAATCAATATTTTATTATAAAAGTTAGTATAAATTTTTATACATTTTATCAACTTTGTACTCAAATATTATTTTATACAATTTATCATATTATAAAATGTATATCCTATAAATTCATATATGTAAACTATATATTTCTTTTTTGTCATCTTTTTTTTGTCATCATAAACTATATAGTTCTATGTCAATTATAATATAACTTTATACAATTTATAACATAATAAATTATGTATATAATTCAGAGTTAGAATATGATATGTGTAACATTTTTGTATATATTTTTAATAATAATGTTAGAATTAAATCGGTTAAATACAAATTTCTATATTAAATATAAGTGATAAAACATAATTATTATATATTTCTATAGATTTACAATATATCAAAATCAAAACTATTTATTATTCTTTAATTTTATAACCATATTATGGTATTAGGAAAGATATACCTTGTTGGTAAAGGCTTTTAATTAGTTAATTCGTTTATTAATAACTTGCCTTATTTTATTATCAATTACTTGCGCAAGTNCATAATTATTATATATTTCTATAGATTTACAATATATCAAAATCAAAACTATTTATTATTCTTTAATTTTATAACCATATTATGGTATTAGGAAAGATATACCTTGTTGGTAAAGGCTTTTAATTAGTTAATTCGTTTATTAATAACTTGCCTTATTTTATTATCAATTACTTGCGCAAGTTGATACGATGATTACCTTTTGCCATCAGTTACTTGTCTTAAATGGTATGTTAATTACTGCAAATTTATGACAGTCAATTTTTAATATCTTTCTTTAATTGCTTCATGTTTATTAAAAGGAAACAAATATTACAAGAACCATAAGACTTCATATATCTCAAGAAATGTCTTTAGAAGAATTTTTATAACAAATATTTCAGGAACCATAAGACTAAATGATAAAATATGATTATTAATTCATAATTATTCTTTAAATTTGATATATTCTAAATTTTTTATTATATATAATTCTAAACGAAATAATCTTTTTAAGAAGTATTTTTTAATATACATTTAATTGACAAATTTAAAAGTTAAATTTTCGTGAAAATATATGTCTATTAAGTAAATTTTTTATTCTTTTATGATGTCATTTATTAGTAACTATATACATGTGATATTGCATTAAATGTGTATGTTCTTTATTTCCTAATTAGTTATTCGGAAATATGATGATTACCTTATTTTGCTATCAATTACTTGCACAAATTTATTTGATAATGGTGATTTGAGTTAGAAAAGCCCAAAACTATTATCCATTTAGAAAACCACAAAATATAATGGTGATTTGAGATTTAGAAAAGCCAAAACTATTATCTTTATTATATATATATATATATATATATAAATATGGATCTTAAAAATGTAATTTACTATATATATACATTTGTTTGTTTTTTCTATTAACAGATAAATAGCACATATGAAAGACCGTTTGTAGTTGACTACAAACCATTTTTCAGTTTGTTTCAATAGCGATATGCAAATTC